AATAAACATTGCTGGACCGAATTTACATGGTCTCTTGGAGTTCCTTGGGCTAGGCCTGACACTCCATGCTTAAAAGTCAGCTGGATGATCTTTCCTCCACCTCGGCCAGAGTTAGACCAAAGCAGAAGGCTAGATTAGGCACGGATCTTGCTGTGGCCTCTTGGCATCTGCCACCCAAGGCAACTGTTTCACTGAACATAATGGTAGGGTCAGCCCTAATCAAAACATTGAGGAATTCCCGTTAGGCTTTTTTTCACAGTGTTGACCAGATCAAGAAGGGCATATCTCTTCTTTCTTGACCATCAGCAGCTGTACAGGTACCTCATCCAGTCTCTGTGCATGAGCTGGACTCCTGCCCTCTCTTTCGCCTCCCAGCACCTACCAGGCCTTGTGGATGGCGGAAGCGGTCCGAGTTTCGAGCCCTTCCTGTCGGCTGATGTTTTGGGCAGCTTCAATGACTTCTTCCGCTGTCTGGTAATCCTTCAGGGTCCACTCATGAACCGCAACTTCGCTGTACTGCAAAACCCCAACCTGTGAGGCCGAGAGGAGGAGGATCTCCTTGAGGCCCTGACACAGCCTTCTGGAGAGTCAGGCTGGTGATCCCCTAAAGGCAGCCTTGTCTATGCCATCTTCCCCAACATGGCCTTTTCCAGAGATGATGGTGTGGGCTAATGGGGGAATAGGAGAAGGAAGGTCCGGATTCTAGTCTATCCTCAATCATGGAACCCTCCTGGGTGACTGGGGCCAATCAACCCCAATCCCGATCCCAATCCCAGTCCTAATCCCAATCTCTCTCTCGTTATGATGGGGAAAATGGGAGGAGGGGATGCTACAACACTGGTCAGGAGCTCATGAGTGAAAGGCAGGATAAAAGCCAACAGAACAAACTCAAAAGTCCATGCAGTTTACGTGATGCAAGAATGAGAGTTGTAGGGGAACAGGAGAACTTATGCCATGGTGACAATGGTAGAATCACTCCACATGGGGAGAAAGTGGAGCATGCTCAGAGAATGGGGGTGGGAACGGCATGAAGAAGGATAAGGCTCCTTGGGTCAGAAGACCACAGGATAAGGAGTGGTGATGCAAAGTGTTTGGGGCCAGGATTTTCTGCAATTTGAGGAGGTATATGCTAGATTTTGCACTCAAAATTGTGTGTTGTGCTCCCTTTCAAGCCTTGCGCCACTGTTTTGAGGGTTTGGCCCCTTAAAAGAACTAGAAACAAGGCCACCAACAGGCAGTCCCAGCAGCCGGAAGTGTTGCTGGGTGCAGGTGCAAAAAAACCAACTTGGGGCCACAGCAAGCAGAGGATCTCTGGGTCTCCATCCCTGGGCAAGCAGCTCCTGGAGCAGTACCAGAAGGTCTATTTTGCTTCGGAAAATGCTGCCTACTCTGCTTCCTGCTTGCAGAAAGTTAATTGTGGGGTCAAGCTTTTGTCTCTGAAACATGCTGACTCAGCCAAGCGCTCCAGTGCTCACAGCGAGATACAGAGAACCGCACTGGTTCCCCCTCTTCCCTTCTCTACGTTTCCTGTTTTCAGCAAGGAGAGAAAGTGGACGCCTCTGCGCAGCAAGATCGAAGCAACTGAGGCAACAGCTAAGGGGTGGCCGCGCTGGGAAGAGACGGGAAACGTCTCATAGCCCTAAGCAGTCTAGGAAGGCTTTATGAGAAAACTGAAGGGGGTGGGCCAAGAAGACACAGCTTTGCTGAAAATGTGGATATTCCTTCCCTTTCTTTCTTCCAGAGTATTTTTTGGACTCCCTGTTATTTCCTGTTGGCCTCCCATCCACAGACCAACCAGATCCAACCCTGCTTAGCTTGTGAGCCTTCACAGTTACTGCTCCCTTCTGATACAATTAGAACTATAATTTAGATAAAAATATATTCTCAGCCTAGTGGAGCAGACTGTAACCAGCAGGCTATATGTCTGCAACATATTCTGCTCTATACTGTAGTAGGAAAGCTGTATTAGGCTAGGCTAACTAGAGTGCGTCTGATGAAGTGAGCTGTAGCTCACAAAGGCTTATACCTTTTAATAAAATCTGTTAGTCAGAAAAGGTGCTACCAGACTCCTCCTGATGTTTTGCTCTATCTTTTCCCAAGCCCTTTCAAACTCTTGGTTTGGGGCACCACATTTTAACAAGAATTCAGGGAAACTGGAAGAGGCTCACAGAAGGGCAAGGAAGATGATCACGGGGCTAAAAACAGAAACCTCTGAAGAGAGACTGAGAGGATAGTTGAATATTAGGAAGTTTTTCCTAACAGGAAGAGCAGTTTGACAGAGCAACCAATGGCCCAGAAATAGGCTCCCCTTTACTGGATAGGTTCAAGGATACCATTTCCAGCTCACAAGTCCCCCTGCCCAGTGACTTAAAACAGTTTTAAAAGAACCACAAGACAACAATGATAAAACAAGCAAAACTCACTTGGATTTGCTCTGGGTCAATGAAAAATTTGCTGAGAATGTTGCTAAGAAAATTCTGCACTTCGTACCATGGGTAAATGCTGTTGGAGCCATCCAGGACAATTACAATGTCCATGTAGGTTGAACATCCTACACAAAGGTCAGAGCGCATCAGGTAGTGGCAAAGAAGGATGCTCCTCAGAGTATCCCCACAAGTATGAGCAGCAAAGTCCCCATGCTTTCAGTCCTAAGCAACTTTTGGCCTATTCCTCGTCTCTTTCCCAGCACATCTCCCAACTCAGAGAATTAATATTTAATATTTGTTAGATTTATATCTCATCTTTCCTTGGGAAGCTGAAGGTGGCGTACACAACACTCCTTCTGCTATTTTTTTCTCTGAACCTCTTGAAGTAGGCTGGGCTGAAGGAGAAGGGTTGGTCCAAAGTCCACCACTGGACATCCATGCCTGAGGAGGGATTTGTCCAACACACAAGCCACTATATCACATCCAGATGACCAATCTGGAATACTTGGGCCCAAAGGAGGCCATCAAATACCATGCTGCCTTTAGACCAGCTTTCCCCCTCCTGGTGTTGTTTGAAAGTGATGAATTATGACTCACCTCAGCCCCAGACAATGCTGGTTGGGGCTGATAGGGATTGTAGTCCTTCATTTCTGAAGGACTTGCTTAGATCTTTCAGCGTGGTTTACAGTCCACTGATGTTGCCAGAGGAATGTTCTGTTTGAAACTGGTAGGCCTATCAGCTGGATCCAAAACTGATTTATTAGATCTCTCTTCCATTCTTCCCCCAGAGCATGGCTGCAATTGGACTCTGAGGTATTGCTGGGGAACACAAATTCTGCTGGAAACAATCCCCAGCAATTCTGATAAATGCAAATTAGCCCACAATTGGCTGTTGGTCATGTGCCAAGACAGTGGCAGGTGATGGCTTTCTAAAACCCCAGGAGGTGCTCCTAGCCCCGTGGAATGGCAGTGCTGACTCATAGGCCCTCAGGGCTGACTGCAAAGGGAGCCTGGATGCCAAAGCAGCCCTAAGTGAGGGGAGATCCCTGCCCACCAGCCTGGCTGGCCCCTCCAATTCCAGACCTCTAAGGCAGCACCCCCTTGCCCCCAAGAGTTGCCTGTTCTAAGATGGAGAGGGTCACCCAGGAAGTAAGACAGGTAGCCTTATCTGCAGGCACAAGAATTTCCTTAGCGAGTAGGGCTAAAATTCTGTATCCTTTTTCAGCATTGAGACTTTTGGGAAGTTTAAGCTGTGAAATGAGTTTCTTATATCTTAAGATTCCTAAGATAGCAAAGCATTCCCCCAAACCACAAATTAAATTGTGTAATATTTCCACCAGTGAGTGAAGGGGTACTTTTACACCTGTGTGAGACATAAGGCACCAATGTTGTTTCTTGAGCCACCCATAAAAGCCCCCAAACTGAAAGGGGTCTGCAAATTTCAGCCTCCACCCCATGTAATGGTGTCCCCCAGCCACACCTCCTGAGGCCCCCAGTGGGGCAGGAAGAGGACACCCATTTTGCCCCAGGAAAAGGACTGGACACTCCTGAGCTAAGAGAGAGGCAGGCTGGAGGTCAGGTGAGAGGCCCTCCAGAGGCTGATAAACCAAAATGAAAGTGTTCCTGTGATTGGCCATGTTGGCTGGGACTGCTGGGAGTTGTAGTTCCCACGGGCTCCCACCCAACACAGGAAAAGGGAGAGAAAGCAGTGGGATGGATAGAGCAAAGGATGGGTTGGGGAAAGCACAGCGGGAGTTCAGACTTGCGCAAAGCTTTAACTGCTCCATCAAAAAAGTGAGCATGAACATGTGCTTTACAATCACCCAAAGAGCGTGTCTGTGCACTGCACAGAGCACCACTCCTTATAGCACACCACTGAGTGCCACTTGTTTCCTCTGCTGTCTGGTCCACCTAGAATACTTCAGAAGTCCAACACACAAAGGCCAAACTTACTCTGAGCCGTTGGGGCAATATTTTCCACCAGCCGGAAGTCCCTGTCCACGCTGGTACAAATCCCCGTGCTGTACATGGACGTGCCACATTCCTGGGACCAGAGGGGAGCGCATGTCTGCCGGAAAAAGATATGGGTGTCCACGGGCACCAAAAGTAGCTTCCCTGCTGGCTGGCATTTTGCCCTGGCCATCCCTCGCCCTACTGCAGGCTCCCTTTGAGAGGGATGGGGGGGCAGAGAGACTTGGGTTGGGTAGTCCAACGCATCTGGAAGACACTAGAGCAGAGGTGGTTGACCCATGGCCCATATTCAAACAACATGCTTAACCTAGTCTTGAAGGGACCTCTTTTCTGGGGTCACAGAATCCAGAAATCAACTCAATGGATTGGGTCCACCCCATACATGCAGAGCCACAGAAAACAAACCGAGGTACAAACTAACCAGATTGCCATTTAACTGACCTAGTTAGGTATGTTGTGTGAACAGAGCCATAGAAGATCTGAGGCACAAGCAACTTCCCCAGCAAAGGCTAAAGGCTGGTTCCTGTATAAATCCATTTTTAAATACGCAAAAACAATGACTTTCAAAATCATGAGTTAGTTTTTATGTTTACACTGCCATAAAGTTGATAGAGAGACTATCCAGACAGGCCAAAGTTTTCTCTCTCTCCCTTTCAAAGATGTTATACCGGGGTGGGGGTGGGGGGGAGCATCTTTCTACCAATGGCTAGATATACAGGTGATTGAAAATATATTTATTATGCTTGCATTGTCTCTGTATCAAGTGTAACAGCTGAAGTCAGTGGCAGGGAGGTTCATTTTGTGTTCTTCACACAACACTCCTGTAGGGTAGGTTAGTAAGAGCGGAACAACCGATTCAGCAAGCAAGTGGACCTCTGGGTTGAATTCCAGCACCCCTGAAGGGGCCCACCCTGGAAAAGGCCACCTTGTAAAGATAAAGTCTCCCTAAAGGTGGGACTGACTTCTGGTGACTTCATGTGCGGTCAGCAACGTGGAGGCTTGCCACCGTCTTTCAAAAGAGGCACTCTTAAAGCTGCCCAGCCAGCCTGTCAGCCTTGGGATTTCCTGGCAGTCCCTCATTCAGACTCCAACCGAATCTAACCCCACCCCAGGTGATTAGGGGCTGCCCCCTGCCAGGACTGACGGCTCACTTAGAATTGAAAGGAGGTGGAAAGAGCAGCGACCTCAGTGTTGGCTGTCGAGGAAGGAAAGACGAGGAGCAGAGAGGCTGGCAACAGCTTCCCCAGATTTATGGACTCACTGCATTTTCTGGGCTTGGGTGAGAACCTAGGCTAAAATGGGATTCTGATGTAAAGGGTCGCGTGCTGGGGGGAGGAGAGAAAAAGGCTGGGTTCACACAACTACTTGACCAGATTTCTTTAAGACTGAGCACCTGCATTCACACAATATGGCACTGGATGGGAGTAGCGCAAAACTAGCTTGTTTGGTTAGTCTGTTTGTCAGTATATTGTGTGAACCCAGAAGATGGGTTAACTGAGTAACCAGTTTCAGCATGTGGCGCGAATGCAGCCTAAAATCACCAGTAGAAAAGGGGGGGGGCTTGGGGGGAACATTTAGGAATGAAGGGGGAGCAGAGGACATCTTGGCCAGGACTGCCCCAACACTAGCCATGGATCGGAGGATCCAGCATCCTGTTTTCCAGAACAAAACCAGCTGCCTTGGAATTCCACCAAATGGAAACTGGAGGTGTTCACACTCCTGGACAATCCATTATAGGAGAGCAGGGCCAGAAGAGCGACTCTGTCTCTGACAATCAAGGAAAGAGCTTGGCTTTTGAACTCTGCTGCATTTATAGATGTTTCCTAATTGCTCCATCTCTTGGCCCAATTCTGCTGCAGGTTCCAAAAGGCACATTTATTTATTTATTTATTTATTTATTCAATTTATAATATTATTTATTATATTATATTTATATTTATTCATTCATTCAATTTATATAGCTGCCTATCTCACATTCATGACTCTGAGTAGGTTACATTTAGAGATGCAAAAGGATGGGCTGGTCTCACAATACAGGTAGTCCTTGCTTAACGACTATTCGTTCGGTGACCATTTGAAATTACGATGGCACTGAACACCTGGTCCTTGAAGTTACAGCTGTTGCAGTGCCCTGTGGTCATGTGACCAAAATCCAGGTGCTTGGCAACTCAGACTGTTTTCCGAGTCACAGCTCTTTCTCTGCAATCAATTCCCAAATCACAACAAACTTTAAAGCCACTATATAGTATATTTTTTAGAAAAATAAATTGGAGGAGAATGTAAATATAAAACTCAACGCTTCATCATTATTAGCAATATTATTATTTGCTTTGTCTTTTCAATCTAGATCGTTAGACATTGTTAGGCTGGGCAAACTCAGCTTATTGTTTACTCTGTGGTTCAATATCCAGCAGCAAGGTTAAGTGTGTTGTGTGAACTGTCTTCATTGTGACCAGTAGCTAGCAAAAATGTGCCCAACTTGCCCAGTCCTGCTCCAGGGTGTTCTTCCTACAACCCGGTCAAGCCTCAACATTTAATGGACTTCCAACTGAAATTACTGCAGCAGGGCCAGCTTTTGATAGCTCTTGTTTTTTTTTAATGTATGTGGTTGGGTGTGTGCTTTATTTAAAAAAAGAAAAATGCACCACAAAAGATACTCACCACAAACCCATCATCTTTGTTGGCCATCAGCGTCATCCCAAAATGCATGTTTTTTGTTTGCCTGGAGATATTCTGGAGGGCCATGTCACCTAGTTGTGAT